AAATGTTTAATATACTCCAAATCTATAGCTTTGACACTGTCACAAAGTCTCACCAGTTTACGTGTCCTGTCCAGGACCAGATCTATGATCTCTTTGCCGATGGTGTAGTGGCCACGGGCATAGTTGTTGGCAGCGTCCTCCTTTCCTGTAATCAGCTGCTCAGGGTGGAAAAGCTGACGGTAGGTTCCTGTACGCACCTCATCTGTACAACAAAACATTGATCGATATTTACTGGATGAGAAATCAAAACATTTACTGTTTCTACTTTGGTACAAGAAACCTTTTTGAGGAAAAAGAATATAATGGTGTTGTTTAATGAATTGAAATTCTACAAATAGAAATGCAAAAAACAGTAAACAAATATATAGCTCTGTTTAAAAACATCAATATAGAACATTAAAAACTATCCAGCCTATGTAAAATATCAAATAATACTGGTGCTGACCTATGACAGTTGGTTCCAGGTCAACATAGATTGCTCTGGGAACGTGCTTTCCTGCTCGTGTCTCACTGAAGAAGGTGCTGAAGGAGTCATCGCCTCCTCCGACAATTTTGTCCGTGGGCATCTGTCCGTCTGGCTGGATCCCATGTTCCAGGCAGTACAGTTCCCAGCATGCATTACCAATCTGAGCCCCAGCTTGGCCCACATGAATTGAGATACATTCACGCTGCAGAGAGTAAAACTGCTTTACTCTCCACATGTCTACATGAGTGTTATCAAACAAATTATCAAACCCAATTTAATTTTACTACTGTCATGAAAATTCAGCTTAATCCTGAAGAATATTCAATGTCTCACAGCTATTCAGAATATAGTAGCATGTTCTTACAATGAGTTTTACACTAGCTAATCATATCTTACCATACTTTTTCTCTTCAAAATGTCCAAGCATCGGTAACAGGATGTCGTTCCCGAGGCAGCTGTGATACTCTGCTTTATATACCTGTGGCTTAAGGTGTATAGTGATTTGATATGAACTGTAATCAGACCTACTGATGAGACCAAGATAATATCATATACTTGACAGACAATGCAAAAGGAGGTCAACACCCTATTCATTGTGTTAGTCTCTGAGTGGATTGTACAGGTGTGTATGTTTCACAAAGCAGAAGGAAACCCCCGATGAGGGGAAGGTAACCTATAGTTTCAGCTGGCAATTATCATTGTAGTGTTTGCAGTAACAGCTTATGTGATTTAGCATTTTTTAAAATAATAATAATAATAATAAAAAAACCTCATCATG